ATACCGCGCAAAATCTTTGAAAATTAATTTATTTATTATTCATCGATTCATTAATTTATTCTACATTGTCGTAATAATATCAAAGAATAACACATTTTAAACAATCTTTAGATTTGTAAGCATGTATTTGAACTATTTGTGTACATAGACTTAACATTGTACGTTGCATAATATTTTAATTTAAAATATACACACATATGTGTGTATGTATATTGATTGCATTTATATTATAGACTCACACTGTCCTTTTAATCATTTAAGCAGGAATTCCAATTTTGTAGTTTATGTCAGTGTCTTTTTATACGTGATTTAAAGTTAATTTGTGAGCTATTATTTTTTCTTTCAAATAATATCGTGTTATTTTATAACCATTTAATGGATATTTGAACTTTATCATTATCAATGAAAATGATTCAGCGAACACTATTCAATAGAATATATTTCTCGTTACCAAAAAATATTTGGTTAGGTTATCACAATAAGTTTTCTAGTGATGTAATTAAGGGTAAGGATAATAATACAGAATCAATCAAGGAATCTGTAAACAATACAGAATCTACTTATGATACTGAAGAAGTTAGTCATCTACTCAAAGAATCTGCAACATACAACAATACTGGTGATACTAATTGGGTAACAACACCATATCCTGAAGGTGTTCCAATTCCAGATGAAAAGAAACCAAAGGTAGATCCAAAAACCACCTCGATTTTATTGTTTCCCGGTCAGGGTGTAATTAAAGTTGGCATGATTAAAAAATACATGCATTTTCCTGCTGTTAAAGAACTATTTGAAATTGCAAACGAAATACTCAATTATGATTTATTAAAAATTTGTTTGAATGGACCAGAAGAAAAACTAAACAGAACAGAATTTAATCAAATAGCTACGGTCATCTCATCATTGGCTGCCTTAGAAAAAGTTCGTGAGGAAAGACCTAGTGTATTTGAAACTTGTGTTGCTACTGCTGGTTACAGTGTAGGAGAAATAACTTCTCTGATTCTGTCTGGTGTTATAACATTTGAGGATGGAGTTAGATTGACACATGTCAGAGGAAAAGCTATGCAATATGCTTCAGATAAAGTATCCCAAGGAATGTTATCTATTACATGTACACCAAACACAGAAGTTTCTAAAGCTTGTATAGAAGCAAAGAAGTGGGCAATGGAAATGGGTGTTGAACAACCTGTGTGCCAGTAAAATATTTTTATGAAATTTAAATAATAATTAATAAATAAGTATGTAAAGTACATAATATCATTAACGTGTTTCAGGGTTGCAATCTATCTATGTACAGAGAGGAAAATATTAGCAGGCAATATACAAGCATTAGACTATATTGAAAAAAACAAAGAGCTATTTGGTTTGGGTAATGTAAGTAGATTACCTGTATCAGGAGCATTTCATACAGCTCTTATGGAACCTGCTTTGAAGTCTGTTGGAAAAATGTTAGATTCAATCGAAATACATGAACCTAGATGTCAAGTTTATTCAAATTGCAAAGCACAACCTTACAATTCAAACTTAAAATATGCAAAGAAATACATATGTAAGCAAATTATTTTACCACTTAAGTGGGAACAGTGTATACAACGCATATATAATAGACCACTAGATACAGAATTTCCACACACTTATGATATAGGATCAGCAGGAAGGATGAAAACTATTTTAAAACTGATTAATGCAAAAGCATCACTATCATGTACTGTAATTTGATACAATATTATGTTACTATAAGTTGTACAGAATACAATCCTTTTTTAATTGTTTATTTGTAGTTTTGT